CCTCGGGGAGGCCGGGGTCCTCACCAGGCCTGGCGGGACCAGGATGCTGGCCCTGTACCTGCCCCCCGGCCCCACCCAGCGCCCCCTCCCACCGTAGCGCCCAGGCCTACTGGAGACAGCCGGATGCCGGCTGACCCCGGGCCCGAGGCGGGCAGCGGCTGGCCGGGCCTCCTCATGTCCTGCCTGAAGGGCCCCCATGTCATCCTCAAGATGGAGGCCATGAAGATCGTCCACCCCGAGAAGTTCCCCGAGCTGCAGGCGGCCGCCCCCTGCTTTCCACCTGCACCCCGGCCCGCCCCAGCTCTGGCACCCAAGCGGGCCTGGCCCTCAGACACGGAGATCATCGTCAACCAGGCATGCGGCGGGGACATGCCTGCCTTGGAAGGGGCGGCCCGCACCCCACCCCTGCCGCGGCGGCCCCGCAAGGGCAGCGCTGAGCTGGGCTTCCCCCGCGTGGCGCCCGTGGACGAGGTCATCGTGAACCAGTATGTGATGCGGCCTGGTCCCGCAGCCTCCGGGCCCCCCGCAGTGCCGTCACCCGCTGCAGGGGAGCCCCTGGAGTGCCCCACCTGCGGGCACACCTACAACGTCACCCAGCGGCGGCCCCGCGTGCTGTCCTGCCTGCACTCTGTGTGTGAGCAGTGCCTGCAGATCCTCTATGAGTCCTGCCCCAAGTACAAGTTCATCTCCTGCCCCACCTGCCGCCGTGAGACTGTGCTCTTCACCGACTACGGCCTGGCCGCGCTGGCCGTCAACACCTCCATCTTAAGCCGCCTGCCCCCCGAAGCGCTGACCGCCCCGTCCGGGGGTCAGTGGGGGGGTGAGCCCGAGGGCAGCTGCTACCAGACCTTCCGGCAGTACTGTGGGGCCGCGTGCACCTGCCACGTGCGGAACCCGCTGTCAGCCTGCTCCATCATGTAGCGCCCGCCCGCCGCCCGCCGGTCCTCGCGCTGCTGCTTCAGGGATCCGGCCCTGCCCTGTCCCCCTCCGACCCCTCACCCATCACAGCTTCTGGCCCCCACCTGTGTGGCATTGTCGCTGCAACCAACTTTGCCATTAAAACTCTGCCAAAGTTTGCATCTTGTCCCTGGACTGAAGCCTGCTGCTGTGGCCTAGGCACTGGGCCAGGGTGGGCACCAAGGACTGCAGTCCAGACAGGGCTGCCAGAGGGAGGCCCAGTGCCGTTTGGTGTCAGCCTGCTCTGCTTGCTGGCTGAACTGGGCTGGGCGTGCCACTCAGGATGGCGGGCCTGGCTGTGTGCGCACGCGGGTGCAGAGCCAGCTGCCTGCGTGTGCCGCGCAGGGATGTGTGGGCAGGTGTGCAGAATGGGCCCAGCTGGGCAAAGAGGACGCTTCGTGGGCTCTGGCCACTGGACACGGGGGCGGCTGTGTAGAGACAGCTCGGACCCTCTGAGGTGGTGTGGGAAGGGCCTTTGGGCCCGTCTGAGCTGGGGTTGGGACGTGGTTGGCCAAGATCGTGGCAGGGTACCAGGACCTGGGACAAGGACACTTGGGGTGTGTGGAACAGAGCCGCCTGGACCGTGACAGAGGGTAAATGTAGTAGCAGTGGTTAGAGTCGCGCTACTGTTTATTGAGAACTATTTCCTGGACCGGGCTCAGTGCTGGCACGTCAACAAGCCCATGAGGTGGTGCTGTGACTGTCTGTCCTTCCGATAGAGGCCCCAGACTCAAAGACAGGAGGCTGCAGGCGGTCAGGGGCTTCAGCTCAGCACTCCAGCTCCAAGGCCCAGCTGGGTCTTTGTCCCTGGTAGCTTAGGGGCATGTGCCGGGCCCCCAGCTGCTCCTGATGCCCCCTTGGGTCCCGGCCTGGCTGGTGAGGAGGCCCTTTGTGGGCTGAGTTTGCAGAGCCAAGGCCTCTCCCCTTGGCTGCCCTGACCTTCAGGGAACACACACTAGCCCTTATCTGGGACACAGGCAGGAGGGGGTGGGGGAGGCCACAGCCCCTGCCCAGGGCCCTACCTCCTCCAAGGAATCGAGGCACTTCCAGGCCTCCGTCCATGTCTGTGTCCACTGGAGTGCTGGAGTGCAGTGGGGAAGAGAGCCAGTGTCAGTGTGGTGGTGCCTGTCCGTCGAGGGGTGCTTGGGGCCCTGCTCACAAGCCTCTTCTAGCGCTGTCCTTGAGCACCACTGGCCACTGTCCAGGCAGCAGGGAGGTATGGAGTCTCTGGCTAGGTCAGGGGCTGAACACAGGCTCCCAGGTGACCCTGGGCCCAGTCTTAGGTCTTGATTGAAGGCCAATGCCTAGTCAACCTTGAATCTGTCAGCCTGGTCATCAGGTCTCAGCGCAAGGTGCTCCTCAGGGCAAGGCCCCATGGCACCAAGCCCCCAGGATGTGGCCAGTCTGAGTCTCCAGGCCCTGCTCAGTGGCCTGAGCGGTCCAGCAGCATGAAGAGCAGCCCCAGCAGCATGAGTGGTGTGAAGATGAGCAGCAGCCCCAGCAGCTCAAGGGCCAGCAGGCCCAGCAGCACCAGGCGGCGGGCACAGGGCCCCCGCTCCCGCAGTGCCCAGAGCCGGGCACCCAGGCAAGGTGGGCAGGGCAGGAAGGGCAGGCAGCCTTGGCTGCCCACAGGCCCTGCCAGGAAACGCGGCTGGTAGCGGTGCTCCAGGGAGGCCCAGGGCCCAGGGCCTCTTTGGGGTGGTGCAGGCGGTGCAGGGCTTGGGGGGCGCGGGGGCCCATCGGCCTGCAGCAGCTCCTCCTGCAGCTGGCAGATCTCCCACTCAAGCATGGGCGTCTTCTGGCGACACAGCGGGCAGCGCACACGGCCCAGGTCGGCGCTGGGGGCCGTGCCCAGCAGCTGGTGCAGGCAGCCTGAACACAGGCCATGGCCACAGTTCAGCAGGACCAGGCGGCGCTCCCCAGTCCCGTAGGGCTCTGTGCAGATGGGGCACTCCTCCTCCTCCTCCCCTGCGAGCTCGGCCCAGGGGTGCGCTGTAGCTGTGGCCCCCAGCAGGGCCTCGCTGTCTGGAGCCCTGGCACCCCCAGGGTTCTCAAGGGCCTGGCTGTCCAACCTTTCATCTGCCTGTACTTGGTACAGTGGGTCCAAGTGCTCAGGGCCCAGGGAGGCTGAAGGTGGACTGGGGAGCCCCGAGCTGAGGTCAGCAGGGCCATGAGTAGGTGGCCCGGGGCAGGAGTCAGGAAGGGTGGAAAGGGTCCCCAGGGTGGCAGTGGGGTGGTGGGGGCTGTGAAGGTCACTGTGGCCCTCTGGGGCTGGGGCAGGGGCTGGCACTGACCTTGCAGCAGCCACCGCCTCCTCCAGGCTCCTTGCCCCTGTGGAAAGTAAACTTCGCTGGGGCCCCAGCGCCCGTGTCAGCTCCGGCCACTCCTGGGCCCACACGTGCCGCCCCACTGGGTCCACCCGAGCCCAGCCACAGCCACCGCCAACCCGTGTCAGCAACCGACCTAGATGGATGGGCTCCGGCCACGGCAGTGTGGGTCGGCTGGCCGGCCTGCCCAACTGCTCCGACAGGAATTCCCTTCTCGGAAGGCCCATCCCAGGGCCGTGACAGCGCCCGCCCCTC